CGCCAATGCGGACGCTATCCTTCTCCTACACGCGTGCATGCCTCGCGCTATCCTTCTCGCACCGCCTTGCGAACGCCGTATCATCCGCGTGCATGCTTCGCGCTATCTCTCTCCCAAGTGCATGCCTCGCGCCATCTCTCTCCAACGTGCATGCAAACGCTATCCCTGTCTTACGCTCATATGGACGCCTCGCGCTATCCTTCTCCCACGCTCATAGAATATCATTAGCGCTATCTCTCTCACACCTACTCGCGGACGTCTCGCGACGGTTAGGTTAGCGGGTCCCTCGCCTATCGGTTAGGACGCGGTCCCCCTCTCCCTCTCCGCGGACCCCTCGCCTATCGGTTAGGACGCGGTCCCCCTCTCCCTCTCCGCGGACCCCTCGCCTATCGGTTAGGACGCGGTCCCCCTCTCCCTCTCCGCGGACCCCTCGCCTATCGGTTAGGACGCGGTCCCCCTCTCCCTCTCCGCGGACCCCTCGCCTATCGGTTAGGACGCGGTCCCCCTCCCCCTCACCGCGAACTCCTCGCCTACCGGTTAGGACGCGATTCCCCCGCGTGACGTCATACCCCCCGCGCGGGTTTCCCCTCGCCCATCCCTTCAGAGGACCATGGCTTAGAACCGGCCTATATACCCTACTGACATCATTCTTAGTTTAGATGATTTCACGTGACATGCCATGGACCAATCAGAGTAATATTAGAAAGAGATGTCAAAATCCAAACGCACCTCTCTCTCGGCGAAATAATGGCGACAGCCAAACAATGGGATCGCTCATTTCAGTATGAGCGCGTTCCACTTAACGACCGCAACGCTCGCAAGCATCATCTATCTTTGTTTAAGGAAAACTGTAGGAAACTGTATAGTATCACAGATTAATAGACAGATAGCCAAAGACCCGGATGAAGGCGAGACCAGTATTTCTCACTGGTTTCAGCGCTATACCGTAGTAATGGTCAAAACAGTAATTACGTTCCCATGGTAAAGTCGCGTCGTTAATAATAATGCTAAGAACGGAGGGCTGTCCTTATCGAAGCTCCACCTACGGCACGCAGATAAAGTCCATTGTGCTCTCCGATAAGCGACTCCTCAGTTCAGGCCCAATCTCCTTTAAAAGAGGAGGAGAGTCCTGCCTGGGAGATCACCCACCTGCTGGGACTCCAGGAAAGCAGAGCCTAGCAGTTCCAGTTTGACACTGGTATAGGCCGGGCAGTCACACAGCACATGGAGGCTGGTTTCTTCTGGTGCATTACATTTCCTGCAGTTGGGCCTCATACTGATGTCCAATTTTTGCAGGTGGTAATTGAGAGTGCCGTGCCCGGTGAGAATGCGAGTCACTAGCCCGGCCTCTCGTCTACTTAGCTTTTTGATGCCGCTGGCGAGGCCCTCTCTCAGAGAATCTCCAAGGAGAGCCTTCGCCTGCCTGCATCCAGCCGCGCTCTTCCAGGAGGCCAAATGCTGGTTCCGCAGCCAGCGACCAATTTCCCTTTTGCCCAGGCTGTGAGGGATTCCGACAGCCGGCTCCGGTCCCACCAACGCAGTCTCCGAGCCAGCTCTAGCAAGCTGGTCGGCCGCCTCATTGCCCTTGATACCAGAGTGTCCAGGCACTCAGATCAGAACAACCTCGTTGTCCCTCGCAAGTTCTTCCAGGGTGCCTCTGCATTCCCAGACCAGTTTGAAGGTAGTAATCGGAGCACCAAGGGCCCTCAGAGCCGCCTGGCTGTTCAAACAGATGCTGATGCGCTGGCCCCTCTCTTTGTTAGCGAGGAATCCTTGTGCACAGCACAAGATCGTCACTATCTCCGCTTGGAAGACCGTGGCAAATTCACCGAGTGGAATGGATTCACTGATCTCTTCCCCTCGGCAGTAAACGCCCGCCCCTGAGCCCAAGCCGATCCTGGACCCATCCGTAAAAAGAATGAGCCCATTCTTCAGTACCGGACCCTGCGGCCTAAGCCAGTCTTCTCTCTCCGGAAAGCACACTTTGAATGGCGCCTTCAGGGCACGAATGGCTGGCATTTTGTCCTGCCCCATACTGAAAATAGGATGAGAAAGGACTCCGTCGGGAAGTTTAGTGTGCCTGGTGCCGGCCCTCCATTTTCCCACACAGCTCAGACGGTAAGCCGCCGATGCAGCAGCGGCAACAACCGTGTGGCAAAGTGGCTCGATACCGAGCAGCACTCCCATCGCTGCAATTGGCGTGGTTCTCATAGCCCCAAGAGCCCCTCTTAAAATAAGAGCCCTCAGGTGCTCCAGCGATATTTTCGCCGACGCTAGCTGTACCCTAGGCCACCATAATACTGCAGCATACAGAAGACTAGGTCTAAGAATGGCAGTATAAATCCAGTAGCCCATTCCCGACCTGAGGCCCCAGGTCTGTCCAAAGTATCTTCTGCACAGCCAGAAGTAAGAGGTTACACTCTTACACCGATCGTCCAGGTGCTCCTTCCATGTCAGCTTCCTATCTAGGATGACTCCCAGATATTTCACTGACACGGCCGGTGTCAACCGCGTATCCCTGCGCAAAGAAAACCTTATCATTAAGTTTGTTGAGTAGTCCATCGACTACTAAGCACCAAAGAAGTGAAAAGAGCACTCCGCCCTGCGGGCACCCTCGATCCATCCAGCCGCCGACACTGACAGCGCCGAGCGTCGTTACAACTTGCCGCCGGAGCATACCTCTGATCGACTGAACCAGCCTGTGTGGAACGCCCCGCAGCGTTGCCTCCCTGCAAACCACCTCGTGAGAGGTGTTGTTGAAGGCACCCTCTATGTCCAGAAAGGTCTTCACCGCGTAGCCTCTTTCCATGAGATCTTTCTCAATTTGGGAAACCAAAGAGTGGAGCGCCGTCTCCGTAGAGTAGCCCATCCTGTAGGCATGTTGATTCTCATGCAGCGGGTGCCGCAATGAGGACAACTTCCCTCAAATAGACCTCGACCAGCTTCTTCAACGTCTTCAAAAGAAATGACGTCAGGCTGATCGGTCTGAAATCCTTGGCAGAAGTGCAGCTGGTCCTGCCGACTTTGGGTATGAATACCATCCTCGCCAGCCTCCAAGCTCTGGGCGTATAGCCCAGAGCAAAACAAGCTCCCAGGGTCCGCGTGAGCGGCTCACTGATCTGCCCGAGCCCCTCTTGTAAGAGCGCCGGAAAAATCCCATCCGGTCCAGTGGACTTGAATGGTTTAAAGGTTTTGACAGCTCACTTCACCCTCTCGGGTTTTACAATGCTGGCCGCCAGATCCCAGTCGCCCCCACGTGCCCTTAATCTGGGCTCCGCGGTCCCCCTGTCTGAGTCGACGTCAAGCCCCCTCCTGAAGCCCGGAAAATTGGTCTCCAGAAGGTGAGCCAGATATCGCTCACCCGAAACCACGTCCCCATCCGGGAGGCGTATTGCCTGCAGGTTTGAGCCCGGGGTTTTCGCCAGGATTCTGCAAAGCCTAGAGGCCTCCGGAACCTCCTTCATCGACTCACAGAACCTCCTTTAGCTCTCTCTCTTGGCGGCTACTACAGAGTCCCTATAGGTCTTCTGGGCCCTCCGGAAGAGATCCCAGTCGAGCGGGCGACCTGTGTTCCTGGCTCTATTCCAGGCACGCCGAGCCTCCTCCCTGAGCCTCTGCAGTCCTGGTCCCCACCAAGAGACCTTCTTACTAGAGCGAACTGCTCTCGCTGGACAATTCTTTTCGAAAGCTGCCCACTAAAGCCCTTTGTAGATGATCTACGCAGAGCTCTACCTCAGCAGCGGTCCCGTGCCTCTTAGGGAAGCTGCAAAGACCATTGGAGAGATCCTCTCGAAACGAGTCCCAATCTGTCCTTCTCGGATTTCTTCTATAGATTGTTTCAGGCCTCATATTGGCAAGCCTGAAGACGATCTGCCTGTGATCAGAGAGGGAGGGCTCCGATGAGACCTGCCACCCGACAACCTCCGAAACCAAATTCCTCGAGCATAGAGTAAGATCAAATATCTCACGCCTAAGCATATTCTGAAATGTTGGTTCGTTGCCCCTGTTCAGGATCTCCAGGTCAGTGGCTACTAGGTACTCCAGAAGCCTTTTGCCCCGATTGTTAATATTGGTGCTCCCCCAAACAGTGTGGTGCCCATTAGCGTCGCACCCCACTATAAGCGGCAGCCCCTTATCTTGGCAGTATTCCACCAGCCTAGCCACAAGTCCTGGCGGAAGCGAGCCCTCCTCTTCATGTGGGAAGTACACTAAGCTCACCACCACCCTCCCGGTCTCACCCGTGATGAATTTGAGGAAATCCACCGTAACTGCCACAACGTCCCTGGAACAAAATTCCGGCATGAGTTGCGCTTCTAATTCATTGACCGCAATCGCGGCCCTGGGACTGGGCTCTGTGGGGGACTTGAAAAGTCTGCCACAGGTCGCAATGCCCCTAATGCAGCCCCTGTATACCCAGGGTTCCTGCATTAGGCAAATACTTATGTGCACCACAGCCATGCTCCTGGCCAAAACAGCCGAGGCGCCCCTGCTGTGATGCAAATCGATCTGGGTGAATCCCACCGTTACCATGCTCACTATATTGAGGGCCCGACGCCGGCTGGGATTCTCCCTGCCCCGTCGCCTCACTACGAGCTCCGAGCAGACCCACAGTGATCTGCTCGAGCCCATAGCTAAGCCTGAAGTCCCGCGCCCTCAGCTTGAGGACACTGGACTCCGGGATGCCGAGAATGAGGTTCCTCCCTTCTGGGAAGCCCCAACATTCTCGGCAAAAACCTGCCAGCTAGCCGTGGCGATGCCCGGATTCTGCTTCTCCAGCAGCCCCAGGACCGCCGCCGCAGGCACCGCAGGACCCGGAATCCAAACATCCGCCCTGTGCCGCTTTTGAAGCGCATCCAAGCCCACCACCCTAAGCTTGGCACCCTCTTAGGGAGAGATGTGCCCAATTCGCTCCGAGAGCCAATTGAGCGCCATCTCATCCTCTCCTCTAATGACTACGGCGCCATTACGCAGCACCGCAGTCCCCGTGAAGCGAGGCAGGGGACCCTCTCGGATCTCCGCCAGCTCACTGACCACTGCTCCCCGCAGCAAGTTCAACTGCTCAGGAGTCACCGCCTGTTCGGGGTAGCCCTCCTGCACAATTGCCTTCGCCAAGGGGTTCGCGGCAGAGACGTAGAGCCCAGTAGTCTGAGCTCTTCACCACTTTCTGCACCGAAGGAGAGGTATCAACGGAGACCGTTCGACACCTTTTGCCGGTGTGCCGCTTCTCCACCCCTTTCGGAGTTCCTCCGAGAGCCGCAGAGGAAGAGGGATCTGACCCGGCTAAGGCCACCTCCCTGTCCCTCCTGGCCCTCCTTTTCTCGGCTCCACAGCGATTCCTCTTACAAGGAACCGCTGCTTCGCCGATGACGGCCCCGTTCCCTCCCGGGCCCTGAGGAGCCCGTTCGGGAGTTGAAGCCGCCACCCCTGAGGGCGGGGGCCCTTGCGAGCCCTCACCCTCAGTCCCCCCAAAACCATCATCAATATTAATGTTATCATCCATACTTGGTCCCACGAAAAGCTAGGAAACGGAAGTCCGTCCGGGCAGAGCCCCGCGTGCCCGGGTAAGGCTAAATACTATGGGGTTTCGCCCGGTGCCCCAGAGGCATCGTTCGCGACACTGCACCCCCAGTGCCACGCAGCCTTCGCCACGATAGTTCCCAGCTTGGCTTGGGGAGTCGGTCTGCGGCAATAGCCTTCCCAGCCCCAGACAGGGTTTTACGCCCGCGGAGCCGGTTATAGCCACTACTACCCAGGAGCCTACTCGGGTAGTCAAACCCGGAGGCAGCCTGGGCGTCCTCCTATCCGCCGCCCGGAGACGCGCCCGATAGACGCTCAACCCACGGGAAATCGCGTCGTTAATACGACGGTAATAAATTTTTGAAGTCAAAAGTCGCATCGTTAATACGACGGTAATGCTTTCCATTTAATCAAAAACATTAAAAATTATTTACATTAAAATTTCTGTCTTTCTTCAATATTCACGTGTAAGTGGAAAGCAACAACAGACAACGATCAGCCAACAGACAACGATTCGAGCTGATCGATAGCAATCGATCATAGTTTCTAGTATCATCATTTTTCGTATGATATTCTCTCGTGTCGTATTCTCGCTCGTGCCGTGTCGCGCTACTCATTGTCAAATTCGCGTTCTATTCAATTTCAAACCGAAGTGTCTCGCTCACGATCGCATCATATTATCGTGGCAATCAGTTCTTGATGGGTAAATCGTTTAATCGCTTCGTTTGTTAGTGAAGAGGTCTCGCGAGGACTTCTAGCAAGAAGTCCTTCAAGATTTCCGAAACGCGGAGAAGGACAGGACATCGAAGGACATTCAGAAGATTTTCGATCTTAGTCGCGGGACACGTGTCGAGGCTCGTTCCCGGTGTTATCTAATAAACGTTCTTAAAACTACGCTCACGTAAGTAATCTTTCAAATCCTATTCCTCCAGCGAATCTACGGATTCGCCCTACACATTGCTTCTCGCTCAACTCTGAGCGTATCTCTCAAGATTCGGACGATCTCGTCGAGGTCGACTCCCGAACAATATATTAGGTGTACAACTTTGCTTCCGCCGTTTTCCTATACGTGCGTGCGTGCGTGCGTGTGTGTGTAATTTCTTTTATATGTGTAAATATATCACTTAAAAATAATAAAAATAATAATACTTTTATTGTTTAATAATATATTTATCTCTCTTTTACACATTTTCATAGTTTCTCATCGGCCGCTTGTCGGCAACAAAAGCTTGTTGCAAACGAGATGAGCATTGAGAGTGAGCAAGACGAATATATGAATGCGAGTAAGACAATATAGGAATGAGACAATCACAGAAGCAAGCAAGAGGAAAATAGCAACATCCAAAGAAGACTCGAAGATCGAGCCTTTGCCGTCCTTTTTCTTACTTGCTCTTATTATTGTCTCACTCGCTTCTGATAATAAGACAATAATAAGAGTGAGCGAGACAATTACAGGAGTGAGCGAAAGAGGAATAGCAGCATTCATAAAAGCTCGATCTTGATCCTCGAATCTTCTTTGCACGTTGGTATTCTTCTCTCGCTCACTCTTGTCATTGTCTCGCTCACTCTTATCATTATCTCAAGAGCGAGCGATACAATAAGAGGCAAGCCTCTCTCACATTTCATTCGTCTCATGATGAATTAGCCTGGACTCATACCAGAGGCAAAGTCTGTTGATAAAATCAAAGGAATTTAGCCTGGATTCGAACCAGGGGTAAAGGCTTTTGGTAAAGTCAACGGAGCTTAGCCCAGACTCAAACCAGGTGCAAAATGAGTCGGTAAGGGGCAAAGTGTGTTGCATGGAAATGCCGGTCTCGCCTTCATCCGGGCCTTTGGCTATCTGTCCATTAATCTGTGATAATACGTATGAAAACGTAGGAAACGTATTATACATGTTCTAAAGCTCGTATCAGACTACGCATTGAAAATTGAAGATTGAAGATTAAAGATTGGAATTTGACTAATCAGAACAAAAGGAACTAAAATTTCTTTGTCCTGATTGGTCAAATTTCAATCTTCAATCTTCAATCTCAATCTTCAAGTTGATAGTCTGATACGGGCTTTAGGCTCGATTCGGTGGTCCAGAGCAACGCGATTGGTCGAAATCTTATAGTTATGGAAAAGCATGTGTGACAGGCTTAATTTGTTGACGTCCTGTGTTCAAGAGGATCCTAAAGTGCAAAAGGGAATTATACTGTGATCCCTTAATCTATTTTTGGCACTGTGACGTAAGATTTTTTTGCAATAACTACAATACGCAAAAAGTCTTTGGCCTTCATAATATTTTTCAAAATTTCCTTCCTCCCAAAATTTGTGACACGGCCTACCTCCACGACTCATATTTTCGAAATTTATTTTTAGTTTTTCCAAATCGCGTAATCTATAGGTGCGTTCAAGAGACACAATCGTTGAGCATTATCTTGTTAATACTCGATGTTGATTTGTTGGTTCTAGGAGTAAGAACCAATTACATTCGAACATCATACGTATAATACATAGGCTACGGTCGGGAAGGCGCTAGAGATGCTTTGAAGCATTACATTAACCAATCAGAATAAAGAAATTTTTACTCTTTTTGTCCTGATTGGTCAATCAAACGTTTCGAAGCATTTCTAGCGTCTTCCCGACCGCAGCCATAGTTGAACTTACGACGTATTCATGAAGGAAGAGTAAGGAGAGTTATCTACCTAGATTGGAAATGGTCACGAAAAATGTTCTGTATGTGGCCAGGTTTGCCAAATGGAATGACTTGGACCAATTCGTCGCCATCTTGAATATTCGTACATATATAGTGTTATGTTTAGTTGTATTAGTGATCAATAAGTGTGTTAAATGACACACTACTTACTAATTATTACCACAACTAAACGTAACACTATACATATACGAATATTCAAGATGGCGACAAAATGGTCCAAATTATTCCATTTGGCAAACCTGGCCACATAGGGAACATTTTTCGTGACCAACTTTTTTCCTTTCTACACTATCGAGATAACTCTCCTTACTCTTCCTTCATGGACGTATTATACTATGTATAATACATGGAGCCGGTATAATACACCCGGTATAATACATCGAGTATAATACCTACCCAACCCTGTCCGTGCCCCCATCGACATATAGGCCGGTATTCATAGTCCGTTCTTATATTTAAGATCGTCTTAAATGTGGTCTTGGGTCATCTTAAGATCTCATTCAACCAATGAAATGGCCGCTTAGCATCTTAAGACCGTACTTAAGACGATCTTGAATATAAGAACGGACTATGAATACCGGCCATAGAATGGACTGTGTTATGTCTCGACAATGCTCTTTTCTTACTATACCTCAGTTAGGGCCAATTTCTCCAAGTCCGGTTAGATGAACCGACGGTTAAAATTAACAGGGTGGTTAACTGAAATGACATGAATGCTTGGTTTTCCTTCACCTCTATTTTCTGTTGGCCACCCTGCTAATTTTAACCGTCGGTTCATCTCTTAGAACATATATAAATGGAAGGGGAATAGCAGACTGAAAAGTGTCAGAAGGAAGTGAGAAAGAAAATCGTAGTTGCCTCTCTCTTGTGAGTAACAACACATACAAACATCGTGTTTGTAGTATACATACTTTTGTGTACATACCACTGATCTATCTACAGGGTAGGCCATTTTAATGTATCCACTGAAATATCTTAAAATCTATAAGTTTATGACAAAACTGCTTTAGACAAAAGTTGTATAACTCATAGGGGGACACATGATGAAAATATGGATTTGACCTTGAATGACCTTTTTATGTACAGAATAATTACACAAATCAATTAGCAAAAAAAACAAATACTTGTTTAAAAAAATACATTGTAAATAATTACATACTTTTTCTTAAAAAGTATTATTTTTTTTATACTGATTGATTTGTCTCATTATTCTGTACATAAAATATTGCGGTAAGATTACCGAAAACTAAATATTTTACGAGATATTTTAATTTTTATATCAAAATATGTCAGATTAAAATATAAAATAACTTAAAAAGTACTTAATGAAAAATACTTTATTATAGGGTTTTGAAAAGTTCTCGAGATAAGCTACAAAAATATGCAATAAAAGATATAGTATTCCATTTAAAAA